TATTGGCTGGATAATCACTGACATTTTGAACCTATTAGTATGCAATTGACAAATAGACAGGGTGGCTGGCAAACACATGCAACTTTGTAGCAGCACCCTACCAGCAGTTATCCTCTGCTTCTACAGCACTAGCAGCAGCCATGATGGTTTTGCTACACACCTTCTATACCCATGTTTGAAAACAAACAACTCCACCATCATTTGGCCCCAGTGGCACAACCCAGATGCTCAAACACTAGTACCTCACACTTCAGCTGTCCCAGACAAAGTGGCATATCTGACCCTCAGCTGTCATTCTGGAAAGGTGCAGATGCCCACCCAACCCTGTGTCCTATCTGCCAGATCCACGCCTGTACCTTGGAAAGGCCATGGGGCTGATGTGGCACTCGATGTCCTCATGTAGGCAAGCATAGCTGCTCACGTTTTGAAGGGGCATGCTGACCCTTGCGCAAAGCCCTTCTCCTCTGGCATGTGATTTTTGTTGTGCTCAGGTTGAGCAAAAGACTCAAGTCACGGAACAGCTCATTTCCCTTCTGATAAACCACCTTCCCAAGATAGGAGTCAGTCTGTGATAATTTGTTTTCTAGCAGGAGAAAACACTTTTTTTGCTATTACTATAATCTAACACAGAAGAGTAAGGGCGAATAAAGAAGGCAAGCAAATCCCAAATTTGAAATGGAGTCTACCCAATATTGTACTGAGAAACCCAGTTCCCTTCTGTGAACACAATACAGGCTACCCATGCTGTAACAGTTGCTGAAAATTACATGCCTACAAACTGTATCTTGGCAGACTGGAGAGGTAGGTCTGGTCTACATTTAAGATATGCTAACATACTTATGCCTATATAGGAATTAATTTTTTTTCATGCCAGCAAAAGCCCAAGAAAAGACAGTCACAGTAGCCAAAAAAAAGAGAGAAACAGAGGGAGAGTAACACAAAAAAGGACAGATCTTTTGGGGCAACCAATTTAAAAGGGGTCCAAACAATGCTTGCAAAAGATGGCGAATAAGTTTTTAAAGACAAAATCACCATTTTCAGGTACAGAGCTAACAAAAATTATGTTCACAACAGGACAATAAATGATATTGCCTTCTTCCTCAACTCCAGTATAGGCGAAAAAATCTTATGAGGGGGGAAAAACTCCCTAGCTTATTATTTTAAATAAACCCTCAATTTAAGGTCAAAGAAAGCAAGCCATTCCAGAAATCAGCATGCAGCAAGACTCTGATTACCATCAACAAATGAAGTATAGGAAAAATTAACTCTGAGGAAAGTAATGGAAAACAAGGTGGAGACAGTGGGGCACAAAATTTCACAGACTACCTAAAATCATTAAGGGGGAGGAGAAGTCTCAGATATTGCTTATTTTGCATTACAAAGTGTATGAAATCACAAAATTTCATTCCTTGACATGGTTGTAAAACAGTGTAAAGAAAAAAATTGCCATGCAAAATAGGGCATATCTATTTCTCAATGGGCAAAACTTCATTATACCTTTTTTAAAAAGCAGCACATTCTCTCAAAGTATCAATTTTTTTTCCTCATTCCCTCCAAATGCAGGCAATTTTCTTAATTTTCACCTTTGCACTGTTGAACATAATAGAACGAATAATACATGATCCACAAATAAGTCATAATGATCTGTGCAAGTTAATATGAGCAGTGAGATGCTGAATGTGTGATAAATCGAGATCCGAAATGTGTGATAAATCAAGATGCCTCCTAATTAAAAATCAATTATTAAAAACAGCGAAGAATTAAAAAGAAAAAAGGCACACTCACCAAACTCATAATGAAATCCTGGAAACTTCAGAGTTATTTGAAAACCAGAAAGAAACCTTCAACATCTATATTAAACTAACGATTTTTCTAAGACTCTGTTGTGGTTTTCTCGATTTTATGATTGAATAGTTCTATGAAAAATTGTTTCTGGTATCTTTTGTGCTTTTATCTCTTCATTCCAAATGGTCATGAAAATGAATAGACAGGATTTAAATGGGGAATGGAAGAACAAATCACTGCTCTGGCTCTGGGAAATCAAAGTACACGGATGTCCTGATGTGGCTCCAAGGTGACACAGGGATGATAAGCAGCAGTCCAAAACCACCAGCACCTGAACTTAACATCAAGTACATTATGTTTACGAACAATGTCACCTACTGGGTTACTCAACAGTTTTCCTCCAGAAGATGGCTTTCAAATACAAATATGATTAATTTGCAAACATTAGATCAGGGTGTTCAAATAACTATTTGTAACTACTTTGTGTTCAATTCTGGAAAAATTCAAACGTTTAGCTGCTCCAAAGCAGCTCAAAATCACAAAACCTGTTGCATGAGTTTGGACAAGCATAAATATATTTTTTTCATTTTCTGTAAATCTAAGATATGTATTCATACCCCCAGCAGTGACAGAGAGATTAAATTAAAGAGCATTACTGAAGAGATCTGAATCCCATTATTGGAGAATCTACACTAGTATTATGCTTTATCATAAATATTCAGCATCTGCAATCTAAAGAAGGCTTTGGTGTTTACGTATATAATAAAGTTTTAATAATTCACTAGCAATATTTCTCACAGAGTGCTGCCACCACTTCCTTCTCAACAAAAAAAGGAAAAAATACATCCAGAATTTAAAATCCAAAACCATTCAACCGGACACAAAACTACTCTTTCGACAGAGAAATGCACGTTGCCAGTGACAAGTCATTTTTCCAAGAAGCAGGGGCTCAGGGATTCATCTACGTGCAGTAGGCAGGTGGGTCGGCCAGGGGTGCCTCCCTGCGCCAGCTCTGGCCTGCAGACCCCCTGCTCCCCTCCCTTCTCCCAAAGGGCACAGCCAACACATGCACCCAAGGATGGAATCACAGACACCCCATGGCGGCTGCCCAAACTCAGGACTGCTTTGGGAGCAAAATTTTCAGGTTTTTCCCTCAGAACTCTTGGAAAAGCTAAGCCAGTGCACTCAGAGGACACATACCCAAGAGCCGTTCATGGCACCTCTGGAACACAAAGGCAGCGCCTGAACCATCAGCAACCAAATCTAAGCCATAAAAAAGTAAAATGTGGTATTCATCTGCACTGCAATCATGAGGGTGCATGTTGTTATCCTTTCACCAGATACTAAAGGTTCTGGGATTGTGTTTCATGGAGTCTTGGCCAGGGGGTCTGCAGGGAGACCTCTGAGGGAGGGCAGCGGGGCTGTGCCACCTGCAGCCAGCTCCCCAACAACCCACCCAATGCAAAAACTCAACCTGCCACAGGAGCCTCCTGAGATTGCTGAGGAAACTTAACTAAGAATTAATGGCAAAAGCCCCGAAACAACACCAGGGTAGGAGGTGAGATGCAGAAGAGAAGGTGTAGCAGTACACCAGCCCAGCCTTGTGTGCTGCCATCACCTCAGCCTGCACTGCAAGGGCAGGAGACCATGAAGGTGGGTAGCGGGAGGGAAGCGGAGTGGGGCAGGAGGGGAGGGGTGTGATGCTTTTAATTGTCAATAAGTTAAGTTGATTGAAGCTCCCCCACTTTTAACACATAAAATAGAGGGACAATCCTGACTTGAGCCACAGCACAGACTCATCTCATCTGCCACGGAGGGAGAACCATGTTACCCAGTGCCACGTTAAACGGACATCAACTTCTGAAGTACGGTCCAGCTGAATAAATACCACGGAAAGTCAATAGCCAAATCCCTGCAGCAGCAGCAGTGCTTGGGGAATCTGATTGGAATTTGAACATTTGCATTGATTTTTTTTTTTTAATATTTTTTTTTAGGAGAACATACGTGGATGGCTCCGCAGAAACAGGAATGGCCAGGGAAGGATTACCTTTTAAAGGATTACCTTTTAAACAAAGAAAAATTTGGTATACTGCAAACAACTAACTCTAATCAAAAGAAACAGATTAATCCAACAGGATTATCAGGAAAGGCTTCCTTGTACTTTAATGTCCAGACACACAGCTGAGAAACATGAACAGTTGGGTACTGTTGTCTAGCACTTTTTCATGGTTCACAAATAAGGGTTGCTCCTTCAGTTAAGGCCATTAGAACAAAAGCTTTGACGACTTATCCTCAAGCTTCACAAGCAACGGCCATCTTCTGTCTTTTTACAGAGCCCTTTCCTTTACCCTTGCATATGTAAGCTCTGATCATCAAGTCCTTTTAACTCCAGCCAGGAAGGAAGATTAGTCGCTGCCTGTACCCACTCCTGCACTGTGAAATTTCCAGAACTGAAATCTTCTACTTCCCTCTGGGAGGCAGGGGAAGTCACAGAAAACTGAAATCAAGCTCTTTATGGCTTGTTGTTTTGTTTTTTTTCCTGACTTGTTAACACTCACATAATCTTTTACAGCCACAGTATTACAGTATTACACAAACAAAATAGCATCAATCAACTAAAATGAAACAGCATCCATATATTTACAAACAATACCCACTCTATGCACTTGAGCATCTCTGTCTTACTACTAGGCAGGTTGGTAACATCTCTTACATGCACCTAACATTTGTATTGAAATCTACTTATGTAGTCTGGCAAACAGGATAGGGTAAGCTACCAAGTTAAAAAAAAAAAAAAAGTACAAAGATAAAGCCTCATTAATTCACTAAAATGACTTTGTACTGTTCTTTAATTATTTAACATTTATTTTAAAGCTGTTTATTTAACAAAAATTTGAAGTTCCCTTGAAATAAATTACAAATCCTAAATACTTAAACAGATCATAACATAAAGCAGTTCAGTTCCTTTATGTTTCAGTCAGCCTCCTATACAGGTCAGCCCTAGTTTAATCTGGAGGGAAAATCAGATTCAGCAGCAGTCACAAACCCTGCCTACTGATATGAAATGTTATCAGTTTTGGTGAGTTCTCTCATCTAATAATTCTACATTTCTATCTTTTGAACTTTTCACATATTGTTTCATAACCCACAAACATTATATTTCTTCAGCATCTGTTTCACATTTATTTTAGAATAAATACTGCATAAAGACTCACCTCCTCCACCTCCAAGAAGGCTGGAATTAGCTGCAAGAACAAAAGGAGAATCATTAACATTGAGCTCTTTAAATACAGATAGAACCAAAACAGAAGTTGCTTCACAACAGATTTTGTTGTTTTTGCTACTCTCTACTTACCAAAAAAACTTCTGTTGCAAAAACAATCATGTATTTAAATTTTAATCACAGTCTTTATCTTCGCATTATTTTGCAGGATCTTTGAATATATAACCTAATAAATAAGCAGTAATAGGGAAACTTAAACAGACTTTGATGCAACTTTTGACTAGCTTTCCTTGTTTTCTATGGCATGGGATCTTTGACAATGACAATGAGAAAACTTGGCCCCATTTATATAAAAGGTGTTTCACCATTGTATGCAATTAAGTTTGGATTTTACTCAGTATTCTTAATTGCCTCTGTACTGTATCCATCCAGCTACCCAGCCCAGAAATGGTTAAATCACTTATGGAAAGCAATTTTCAGAGCATGGTGATACAAGATGGTCCTTCAAATTAAGCTAGCACAACTGGAGCCATGCCAAACATTTTCCTTTCACTGCCTGGGCAAAACATACGGAAAGCCTAGGCTTCTAAACATGCCTTGAGTATTCACCCTTTAGGTGTGTGGGAAACAAATCCCTCTTGTATCGTAATACAGATAAAAGAGTAAAAAGAAAGAGCATGAGGACTGGACACAGGTATCTCTTATTGTTTGCTGATGAGTAAAGGAAAAGCAATATATCAAACCATTTCCTGCTCCAGGACAAGGGTAGGTGGCAAGACACACAGAATAAAGCAGCTGTTTTCCAGTGTTCATATGTTCTACTGTTATACATTATTTTTTCTATGTAAAAGTTGCAAGAAAGTGATGGGGGGGAAAAAAAACAGCTAGGAATTTACACTCTTGTATTTAGGAAGCAGAGGGAAATCATAGAAAGTGTCTTCTACTGCCATGAGACTGCTAGTAAAGCTTTTTCTTCTTTTTTTTTTTGGCACTGTAGAATACACCTACAATTACCATTCTCATTCTTGAATTATTCAAATTCTAGGATTTCAGTTATTATGTTTGAGTGACTTGAGAGACACAGCTAAGGCCTGTAATACCTCATTGTAACCAAAGTTACCACTGCTAAAAAAAGCTTCTTCTGATACCCAGCCAACATCCCCACTGCAAACTCTCACTTGATGGCTTCTCAGAGGATTATGTTTCTCTCATTAAGTTTTCCTGACAATGTTAATCTTTCCAATACTTTAAAAAACTTGTTAATAACATATACTGTATGTCAGCATCACACACTTCTCTATAGAAACAGCAAAAACAGTTCAAATAGATTTTTGGCGGCAATGCATCTAATGCAGCTATTGAAATTGCAGTAATAATTCATAGGCACTTTTTTTTTTTAAAGAACTATGCTTGCATACTAGAAGGAAAATCAAACAAGTTTACCTATGGTGCCAAGAAAGATGACAATTGATTTATATTTACAGTGTCCTTTTCAGAATGATAATGAGTCACTCAAAAAGCAAGAACTTTTATTTTCATATTTTTTAGGCTGTTCTTGAAAGGTCTGGTAAAATACACTTTTCCATCTTTGGAAACACCTTACTGTTAAGGAAGTAACTTGTCACTTAGCATCTAATGAATATTTTTCCACAGTTAGAGCTGGGGAACTTTCACCTGGATTCAGAGAAAAGGTCAGCACAGCCCCATGTTAACTTACAGACGCATTTTGTCCAACAGTGCTCCCAAATGATCAAGTCTCACAGAACACATTGAGAAGGACTCCTGCTGCAGAGGTTCAACTATGGGTAGTTATGAGCAACCAGCAGTGGGACCCTGGGAGCTTTCAACCTCCAAACTTGTCAACAGTTCAAACTGCTTGCACCACTACACTGTGCCCATGCACAACTGCTCCATCTGACTCGGGGCATGCCCAGCCTTCAGTAGCACAACGTTACAACATCTGCAGACAACTAGTAAATCCATCTTGCGTAATGTCTTGTTCTTATTTCTCCATTCAAGAGCTGCACAAGAGTCTCAAGACACAGGAGACTTAAGGTGGGAGGAAAGAGGAAGACTGAATAGCTACCAAGTTACCAAGGCAAAGAACAGTAAGAAACAAACAACAGTAAGAGTGGCTCTGGAGAAATCTGAAGTAAAGACCTTTTGCACTTCATTTCATTCTCCACATTCCCCATTCCAGCTGAACTGCCCAACCTTTCTAAAATTGCCTCCTTACAAACTACAGTCTACAATAGATTCCTGGACATTAATTCTGAAAATCCACTCACAATAAAACCTTGAAATATTATTTTAATATGTACTCATTTATACTAAGGAGAGAGGTAACACAGTGGTCAGGCAGCCAGCACACTAGGTACTCCCTTGTCAAACTGAAATACAATACACATTGATAAAGACCCATCCAAAACATCTCTGTGGAGGCCTGCAAGAGGCAGCGACGTGAGCACTCATATATATTTAAATATCTTTGCCTGCACCAGTAACACAGGCTTCAGTAAAAAAAAAGAATTAAGAAACCCAAAACAATAAAACAGCCATATGTGGTGACCAGATCCTGTGATGTATTTTAAATAGCAGCTTCAGTATGAAGTAAATCACTGCACAGGAATTGCTGCTCATCACTACTACTTTAAAAGGAATCTTGAACTCTGCATTTTGAGAGACAAATCTCATCTTTACCGTCTGCCTCAATACAGTGAAAATAAATACATCCAGAAGTAGTAATATGGCTTTCAGCCTTTTAGTTTTAGATTTCTTTTATTAGATACATTAGAAACATTAGAAGTAAAAAGTGTTTCTGCAAAGATCATCTCTAAGAAAAAATCCACATTAAAAAAAAGAAAAATCCACTTAAAAGAAAAAACAGTCTCTAATAATTGAGTGTAAAGATTAAGCCCTTAATGAGATGTTTATGACCTCAGATTCAACAAGAAATTCAGTAGACTTTTATTCTTTTTAACACAGAGAAGCAGCACCAGGACAGTGCTACTAAACAAATTCCATGAATGCTGGTCTTATCTACCGAGGAAACTCCACTCTTGCTCCAAGAAATAAAATTCCTTTTGAACAATTTTCGTGGGGAAAGGAAAAAAAATAAAACAAAATAAAATAAACAAACAACAAAAAAGCAACATAAAAGCCAAAAAAACCCCAAAACAAAACACCAACCAACAAAACCACAAAAAACCCACAAACAAACAAACTAAACAACAGAAAACAAAAGACCTGAGAATAAAGAATTTAAAGTAAGCTTAGTGTCTTCGTTATGCAATGCCCACAACGAAATCTCAAGTTACTAAAATGTACAAATTTTAGTAATGAATATACTAGCTTATTTGACAAAGGAGAACTGGACATCTCTGCCTTCTTAACACATTAAGTCACATAGATTTCCAACACTTTTTTGACTGAATAAGCAGACCAGAAACTCTGGCACAGGTCTTAACATTTCCCTCAATGTTCTCTTTACAACAGCATCCTTGCCAAGAAGTAGGATTATTTGAAATTTTGTGGAAAGCAAATGAATGCTGAAGAAGTTCACATCAAACAAAACTTAAAATCTTTCTGTGCTGTAAGCCAAAAGGTATAAAAAAATGGAAAAGGATGTTTGTGTGGGTTGCCTTAACAGACATTTGCAGACACAGAATTCTGTGAATTCTGTGGAATTTAGAAAACAGAAATGATGCAAACACCAATTTTTCTTATGTCTCTGGAGATAACAAGCTTTTAGCTTTCTTAACAACACAGCTGAATAACTCTGGATACTTTTTGTTGGCATATACTCATGTGACAACATTTAAAAAACATAATTCTTCTGGGAGCATGTCTTTGTCAAGTATTAATGGCACTAGTAACTTAAATTGACATCTATGTCATGCAGCCATGCATCTGTCAGTATAATAAAAATATACTTTTAAAAGATTACTTGATATTGTCTGACTTTGGCAGCAGATGTTTCAGCTTATTTTGATGTAAAAAAGACTAAATATTTTTGTCAATACTTTTTAATTGTGAAATTTATTCAAGAAGACATCTTTATAACTGCCAGTGTTGTACGATGCAAGATACTCTATTGCCTCAGACACCATTTTTATTCGCCAGTAAAACATCATAATAGGCAGCTGGTGAGCACAGTACTAGTAATTTATAGAAGAGGAAGCTACATTTCTTCTACATGTTTTGTGACACATCCTTACCTGTCACTGCATTTTCTTTGATCTTTCCTCAAGAAAGCAGAAAGAATAAAGAAGAGTGAGGTAAACACTGCACCTTGGGCACTTAACCATTTTTAACACAAGAGATGTTTTGGTGCCTTAAAGTAAAAAGTTTTAGGCTTCAAGATCATGAAATAATTTCAAAGTATATGTAGTAAATAAAATACAGTCACATACAATATACTACAGTAGAGTCACCACTACAATTAACTTTACTCAAAATACTTCCTTGCACACAAAGCCATGGCAGTCATGAGAGGTAAAATAATATTACATTAACAGGCTGGGACAGATTTGCAAAGTTATATAAGTGCCTAATGATGCAAAGCAGAGATGACCAAAATTAGAAAATCACCCCACCTACAAAATAAGACCGACTTGAAACACTTAGACACATCAGCAAGCACCAGTATCAGTATCCTCAGACATCTATATGCCTTCTGTACACACAGCCTCCAGACGCTTCCTCAATATGGAGAGTGTGACGATCACCTGCACGCAACCATACATCAGAAACAGCTCCATAATAATGGGAAGCAGCAATTTACTTAAGTTTTTGTACAGTGCAGAATATTTCTACAAAAAAAGTTGCTTCTCTCTATACCTGGAAAGGGCTTTTGCCCCTCAGGACTAGTACCTATTAGCAGAACTAGGATTGAATCCTTTGACTCACACACAAGCTGGAGCTTCCTGTAGGTGGCTGTGAGTGCCAGGGCAGTGGGCCAGTCCCCAGGGAGGATTGGCTGCTCTTCACACCCTGGCCCTCACACCACAGCTCCTTGGAACA